GGTTTGGGAAAGGCACTATCATCAGGCCAGGTGTGCCAAACTGTGCCTCAACAGGATGCCATGACTTTGGCTTTACTTATGCCAGGGACTGCAGCTGGCTTTTGCTGCTGCTGCCTCTGTCCCTGCTTGTGATGGTAGGCCATTCTGGCAGAGCATAGCTGTGTGCCACTTCCCTTTCTCCTTTTCCTTTCTCAGCTTTAGCATAAAGCCCAGGGCAAACTATGTCTGCCACTTCTTGAGTAAGGACCAAAACCAGGTGAGGTGGCTGCAGGCCAGGCCTTAAAAGGACAGAAAACACTGTTTTCTGTGCCTGCAGGCTACAGAGTCTTGCTCTCTGAATGCCCCGGTGAAGCCTGAGAAACTATCTCACTCCTTTCTCCCAGCCTCACCTAGGTCTCTCCTCATTCCTCCCAATCTCCCCATCCCTCTCGCACTGCCCACCTCAGCTCCATGTTCTTGTCCTCTCTCTCTTTCTCTTCTCGTTCTCTCTCCCTGTTTTGCGGAAAAATATATGGAGGCAATAACTGGGTCAGGTGTGCAGTCCATGTGGAATTATTGAGGGAGGATGAAGGATCCACTTGTGAATCCATCTCTCATCCTTAGTATTGGCAGAAAATGTTTCTGACAGTGTTAGTGTGTGTGCAGGAGATGGAGACGGCTGGGAGCCCTGTGGGAGCTGCCATTTTTCTCACCCTCCACTCCCCTTCCCACTCCAAGGAGTAGGGGAAGCTGCTGTTTATGCATTAGCTGTTCCTGACCTCTTCCTCAGTCCCTTCTGGGCCTCCTCCTTCTGCTCATTTGTCTTCCTTGCCCTTGACTATTTCCTTCTCATTTAGCTCTTCCTCCTCTTTTTCCCCAGCACCGGTTTCTTTGTTAATCCTAGGCTGTAAGAAGGGAGCGCATAACTCTGTGTGTGTGAGTGTGTGTGTGTGTGTGTGTGTGTGTATACATGAGGCTCTCGTGGAAGGGGAGGGACATCTGTGGCTTTGGGTTAATCTTTGTTTTATTGTACATTGTCCTGATAATGCTGTTTCTTTATTCTTTTTTTCTCCCACAGCCAAGGCTGCAGGATTAAGAAAGTGTAGAGCAGTATAGGAAGCTCTAGGACTGTGCCCTCTTAGGAGCCATCTCCCTAGGCCTCCCTAGCCTTCTCCCTCCTGATGTGGCGACCCCTGCCCCTTGTTCATCCTCACCCAGCCTGGCCCCTCTCCTGTTCAAACCCAGGGATGGCCAGTCACCTGTCCAGAACCTAGTGTGGTGCTGTGAACTCACTCCCTGCCTTTCAGTGTGATTGGTATGCCAGGGAGCCAGGTTGCTGGGGGAAGCTCTCGTGGCACTTAGCCGCTCCATTTTCTCGGCAAAAAAGAGGTGGAACTGGCATAAAGCTAAGGCTTTTGCTGCTGGGTGAGTGTAGCAGCTATTTTTAGTACCCAAGCCTTTGCTTTTCCATTTGGCTGTGCTTTTTTAGCACCGTGGCGGTCCAGCAGGGCTGTTTTCCTTCATGGCTGCAGATGTCCTTAGGGAAAGTTTCTGTCTACCCCTGAGAAGATGGGCTGGGCAGAGGGGTAGTGACTTCTAAGAGTGGATTCAGGCAGGCTTTAGGTCCCACTGCAGTCATGCCACACGTCCAGTTTCTGAAGGTGATGCAGGGAGGAATGTGGCAGGAGTGGGATAGATAAAAGGTAAACACTATGCTCTTCAGAGATGCTGCTGTATAATTAACTCATTTAAGCCTCAGTTGAGTAAACTGCCTAATGAGGTATACTGGGGCTAAGGAATAAATATTAAATCCTCTTGTAAGGGTCTGGACTAATACTGACACATCTGAATTTTCCTAAGGTTTTCTGGTTTGTTTTGCTTTTCCTTCTGCCTTTCTTTCCTAGATCATTTGCTAATTTGGATTAAGTTTTCTTGATTTCTCTTCTAGTTTAGTAGAATAGACCACAATATTTTTGCTATTCCAAATAGGAACTCTTTACCTATTAAGGAGTAACTCTTCATTTCCCCTTTTCCTCAACCTGGTAACTGCTTTTCTACTTTTTATCTGAATGAATTTGTCTAAACATTTCATATAATTAGAATCATACAATGCCTGAGCATTTGTGTCTTATTTCACTTGGCATAATGTTTTCAAGATTCCATGTTGTGGCAGATATCAGAATTTCATTCCTTTTATGGCAGAATAATAATCTATTTTATGTATATGCCACATTTTAAAAATCCATCTTTTGATGTGCACTTGGATTGCTTCCACATTTTGACTATTGTGATTAATGCTGCAGTGAACACTGATGTACATATATCTGTTCAAATCCCTGTTTCCAATTCTTTGGGGGATATGCTTAGGAGTGGAATTGCTGGGACATATGGTAATTCCATATTTAGCTTTCTGAGGAGCCATCAAGCTATTCCCAAATGGCTGCACTGTTTTCTATCTCTACCAGCAATGTACAAGGGTTCCAGTTAATCCATGTCTTCACCAACACTTGTTATTTTACTTAAAAAAAAAAAAAAATTACAGCCATCCTTGTGGGTGTGAAGTGGTGTATCATTGTGGTTTTGATTTGCATTTCCCTCATGGCTGGTGATGTTGAGAACCTTTTCATGTCCCTATTGGTCATTTGTATATCTTCTTTGGAGAAATGTTTATTCAAGTCCTTTGCCTATTTTAATTTTTTTAATGCTTGCTTTTTTTCTTTTTCTTTTTTTTTTTTTT